AATCCTACTCCTGCTGTTTACAAATTTTCCTTCTACACATGTATTACAACTTAACTTAGATGACTCAATTTTACCTGAGAATTTCATGCCCTTAACTACCCCCTGTAGTTTTATAATATCTTCAAAATTGCAGTGCCCTAGGATTTCATGCCATGTGTTAATATCATACGAGAGATTTACTTTATCTACTTCACTTACGCTATCGTTCTCATGACTGTCTATGGAAGTCAAATAGTACAACCGTCCATGTTCTTCAATTTCAACAATGGTACCATCTTCAAGGGTTAGCTCACCAGTATCTTGGGCAAATCGAAGCTCGGCTCCATTTGATGTGGCTGTCTTCACTGAGAAAATATCTTGAGGATAGGATGGTATATATAAGGCGTTTTTCAGCACCGTTTTCACACATTTTCCATTTGTATCTTTCAGAAACACTTCAGCATCCCCTCGTTTCAATGCAATATTACTGGCTCGTGTGCCATCAGCCAGTTCAATGTAATGTTTTGATGGTTTAAATGTCATGTCTATTTGCTTTAAAATATCAGTAGTAACAATGTGAGAAGTGGCACCTGTGTCAACCAACATTCCCATTCGATTGATTTTCCCTGTTGCTTCGTCGTTAACTTTGAATGCAAATGAATGTTCATCTTTAGAGGTGTTTTCTTTCTCCGACACCTGTTCGGCATGGTCTTTGCTCTTTTGCTGACTTCTGCAGGTGCTATCCGAGTGTGTTGTACTTTTGTGATAGTTACACCACTTCTTCTCGCTCTTAGCAGGGCACTCTCTGACTAAATGCCCTCTTTTCCCACAGCCATAACATGTCATTGTTTGCGAAGGAAACTCAGCTTTCATTACCTGATCAATTTTCGGTTTGGTGTTGAGCTTTTCCGTTTCTTCGAAGCTCCTCAACATGCTCTTAAACTTCGCGAACGTTATCTCACTTGCACTTTGGGTCACATGTATCGAGAACGGTTTATATGAATCAGGCAGCCCCTTTAAGATCATAGCAATTATTAGCCCATCGCTTAACGTTTCTTTGGCGTTCTTAAGCGCTGTTATTGCTTTCTCGGCTCTTATTAAGTAATCTGTGACTGTCTCGTGAAGTGCTTTTTCAAGTGACGTTAGCTCAGTGTAGAGTGTGATGATTCTTGGTTTGCCTTGATTTGCATAATGGTCTCGGAGTATTTGTAAAGCCTTTCGGCCATCGTCGGTAGCATCCCTCATTACCAATGACAGACTGGTGTCGTCCAAACACTGTATAAGCTCGGCGTAGCATTCTTCGTTCTTTGTTGCGTCAGCCTCTTCTTCAGACGGCAGGATAGTATCCTTTAGTTTTAATAACCTCATGTGCGCGAGGAATTTCGCTTCCCACAGTTCGTAATTGCTTTCGTTTCCATCGAAAGTCAACCTTGACCAGCGTGATTCTCTGCTGGGCCCATAACCTGTTGAAGCCATGACTTTAGAACACCGTATTTGTAATGAAATCACTCTTTATTTTCACGTTTATTACAAATGTAGTTTTGTACAGTAAGTTGCTTTCACGAGGAAGTTCAACTAACAACACAACAATCCCATCATGCATTTGTCTCTCAGTATTACGTCATACTAATATTTGGATAACATACAGTTTTATATTGAACTCAACAATTTCTGACAATTTTCTCTTAATTTTACCAGGCGTCCCGCTCTTTTCCCTCGATATCGCGGCCACAAAGTCTTCCCAAAGCTAGCACCAAAACGTGCCCATCGAAAGTTATTCATTACATAAACTTCAAAAGACTAAAAATTTAAAAAATATAGACGCCTAAAAGTGCAGCCATTCACGGCGCATACATATTGAGAATTTATACTATCAAAGTGAAGAGAGAAGTGAGACGAATCCACTGGTATACGGCCGAAAAAGAGAAAACCAATGATACCAAAGTTATCAAGGATCAAACGTACTGCATTTTTTTATAATTCGTTATAATAATTTTGAGCAATTTGTCAACAATACAATTTCGCTTGATTTTCAAAGACAAAGGCCATAAATCGCTAGAATGCTGTTATTTAGTAATACATTTGACATCCGTAATTAGTACAATTTCTAACGCTGAATCGAACGGTGGTATTTTTATCCTTATTGCGCCATTAGGCATTTACACAAAACACTATGAAACGTACTGCGACTCTGCGAGTGATGTGTCATGCAACAATACGTACTGCGAGCGAATTGTCAACAATACAATTTGACCAATTTCGCTTGATTTTCAAAGGCCATAAATCGCTAGAATACTGCTGTTTAGTAATACATTTGACATCCGTGAGTACAATTTCTTACGCTGAATCGAACGGTACAAGGACAAACGTAGGCACGTAGCGCGAGCGATTTGTCAACAATATAATTTCGCTTGATTTTCAAAGGCCATAAATCGCTAGAATACTGGTGTTTAGTAATACACTTGACATCCGTAAGTACAACTTCTTACGCTGAATCGAACGTTATCGCTTTCTTCTCAAAATATAAAGCAGCACAGCCCAACGGCAAACGTATAAACTTTTATATAAACTTGCGATTTGCGAAGGTTGCTGTTTCCATGCGAAATTCCTTATAAAATTGTTCAATTTTCCCGAACTTTCCTCAAAATGCAGGGTTATTTATGTATAATTTGGGTAAAATTTGCAGGAGCCTTGTGGATAATTGGGGGGAAAATTAGGCAGCTCATTAATATTCTATTTTGTGGCTATCAACGACGATCGGAAATCTGACATCCACCATGCGTGCCGAAACCTATACTCGTCTGGGGCACAGTGCCTCAGCGAGTAATAACAACCGCACTTTAGCAAACGATGACATCATGCGTTGACGAATATGTTACTTAATATGCACGCGTCTAATAAATAACAGGGAGCAATTAGCGGTAAAAGTAGACTTTTGAGTGGAAACGTTTGTTCGAAAAACAAAATCAAATGAGTGGTTACTTCGTAAAAAACCCTTTTCGTATGCATTTTACTTACATGTACACAGTATATATAATCGCTCATATGGTTGGGATGCATTACAGAAGCATTCCGTAAAAACGAAGGTAGACTGCATGCTTCATGGCTCACAAAAACATTCCGCACACACAAAAGCACAAAGATTTGCAATTGAATGACGTTCCGTTTCCATAGCTTAATGATACAGCCATTGTTTATTAACGTTGTCTTCTACAAAGCTGGTCAAACCAAAAGCGAAAAGTACGCTAAACTTTAGCTCTTGGCCTAATTCTCGTCAGTATTGCAATTCAATGGAGAATTTTGACACAAAAAAATTACGCAAACTAACTATAAATGTTGAGAAATATTTCTAGACATTTGTTTTAGTAGAAGCCTTACGATTTCCGAGCCTAAAGATAAGACAAACTATAAGTTTTTAAGGGGGGCCAAATTTCCGAAGAGGGGGCCATATTTCCTAGGAAATTTGGCCCGGGGGGGGCAAATTTTCGGGGGGGGGGCAAATTTCCTGTGACACCGGCATGCAATAAATATGCACTGATCCAAGATTTATTTATTTGAACTCGCTCGCTTAGATATTTACAAGAATGGTATATATAACTGAGGAAGGTAAGTAACGTTATATATGCCTATATAGAGGTATATTAGAAAGACTTGAGTTTTGATCGAATTGAGACCCCTATACTATAGGCCTAGTTGTTCAAATATTTGTAAGTCAAACTATTTTCATGCAGCCAAATAAGTCAATATTATAAAAAGTATTTCTTGACATTTTTTGTTCAGACAATGAAATATTTGATGATTTTTAAATTTGTTTCAAGCTCATTCCAAATATCAACCCCTTTACTATAGTATAAGGGACATATTTCGCTCTTTGATAAGAGCGGTTTCGTAAAATTTACTTATTTATTTAGTATAATATTTGAGCTTTGCATGCATTCATTTACATTCACTCCCGTTTACACTACGCTCAATTTTTGGTACGGCACGGATAAAATTGGTACCCATACCATTGGCTTTTTTGGACTACCTATTTAGCTAAGCCCCGTTTACACTACGCTGAATTTTTGGTACCGTACCATTTTTTAGTTCTTGGACTACCTAAATAGGTAGTCCAAGAACCAAAAAAGTGGTACGGGTACCAATTTTATTCGTGCCGTACCAAAAATTGAGCGTAGTGTAAACGGGGCTTCATTTACTTAAAGACCAGAGGAGCAAGCGAAAACACGAGTCATGTTAAACCTGGTTGCCGTGAACTAACAAACTTCAACTGATGAAAAAGTCGGCTTGTCATCCTAAGGGCAAAAGTGCTCACCTACGGGACTCGCACACACGTACATTGCCTATAGATGAGTTTGTCGCTGTTGCCAGCTGCAAACGTTAATAAAATATATTGTGTTTGCAATCATGCCATTACTCATTAGAAACGTTCCGAGATTTTGCCCATAATTTGTTTAAACAAAGCAACTATTTACGTATTAAAAGAAGCGATTAGGGAATTTAGGGCTAGGAGTCTTCAAGAAACCCTGAATGGTTTTTATTTAAACTCCGGACCCCTAATCAATATGCATGCTATAAGTATGTACAGTTCAGTCTGCCCTCGAAAAGAAAAAACTATTTACATCAGTAAAGTATTGTATAATATATTAATATATATGTTTAATTTGTTGACGCAAGTTAAGTTAAGTTTTCTATTTTAATTAACATGTATCTAAAGATGAAAGATAGCAAAACGAATATTCAGATCCTTGCATGCAGTTGATATAGAATTGCTTGAAGTCAGGAAATAAATTGATCAATACTGATATTTCCAGGGACGCCGGAACGATAATAGGGCAAAGGGGGGCGGACGCACAACAAGGGCACCTTTACTGAAAATTTTTTTTTCACTGCAAAATTTTTTGGCGACCCCCCCCCCGTCGCCAAAAAAATTTCGGTCAGTGTACCATTTTAGGGGTCAAAAATTTTTTCCGGACATACAAAAATTTTCCGTGAAGCCAAAAATTTTTCCCGATGTCTTAATTTTTCGCCATTTCTTCAAACTATTTTTCTAAATTCCAAAAATTTCCCCAAATTTTTATAAATATAAACTATAAATTACCTGAATCTCGTGATTTTCCTACAAAAAGCATCGTTGGAAATGTGATTTATCACGTATTATTTTACAACTAAAAGGGCACTTCTGCCCCCCTGCCCCCCCCTAGCAAAAGGCAAGGGGGGCAGCCGCACCCCCTGCCCCCCCAGTTCCGGCGTCCCTGGATATTTCGCAACGCTTCTAGCACAATTACTAGTGCTGTCTGGTCGTTCATCAGTTTACTGATAGGACCACAATATGTAATAGTTAAAACATGAGCAGCCGATCTTTATCTGATACCGACAAACTCGATCCGAAAACGTGCTTAAAATACGATTACCCATCTTACGAGTTCATTGGCGAAGTAATTTTAAAAATAAACATTGTCTAAGCCGAGAAAATCATAGCTGAAGTTCATGTAAATGAGGACAAATCTTTATCCGATTTACAAAGATTGATTAAACATTAATTTCTTTTGAATTTTCTTCTTGAATTATTAATACATAATAGATATTTTAAGAGTCATTAAGCAATTTATCGTTTATTGTTTATATATATGGAATTTGCAATTGCATCACTAAATCTATGGTATTTCCATACTCTATCCATAGTATAGAAATGGAAATTAGTATGAAAACTAGATTCCCTACTATTTCCAAGGAAGATCCATGTATATGTACTACAGTTACTGACATGAGCAGCCGCGGTGCAGCCGCGTTAAAAACGACCCATCATGTGAGTTCATTGGCGAAGTAATTTTAAAAATAAACATTGTCTAAGCCGAGAAAATCATAGCTTGAAGTTCATGTAAATGAGGACAAATCTTTATCCGATTTACAAAGATTGGTTAAACACTATTCATTTCTTTTGAATTTTCTTCATGAATTATTAATATATATTTTACTGAGACTCATTAACATATATAATATAGTACTGGGTTGTGCAGTAGTGTCTGGAATACCAATAATATATACTAGTTAAAGGATAAATATTGAATGCAGTCTATACTACAGACGCGCGTTGTCAATTTCGGGAATCTGTGGTGTTGGAAGCTCCAATAACATCAATATACGTGTGGTCACTGAAATTTAATCCTTCGTCATTTACCTGTATACGAAACATAAATGATAAGGTTCTTGTATGTGTCTCAAAAAATCTCAAATCTTATAATGAGGTCTAAAGTGATTGTCTCAGCTGTGTTCTATCTCATTTGACTGGATGGCCGATAGTGTTGATAGTCCATAGATAATTTTTCAGTGTGTGTCACCCTCCTTGCTACCTGATATTACTAGCATGCTGTTAACGTCGGGACTCGTTAGTTGTTGTACAGACACCTAGAGTCGATTTACTCGTACAATTCATTACGAATCATTTACCTAATATCGCCATGATATATCTTAGTATAAGATTCTTAAGCACTTTTATTAATACTTCAATTCAGGGAGTATACGTATTTCCCATGAGTATACATTTTTCTTATAAAAGGTGTATCACATGTACTTTTTTTAGTAGACACTGCACAGGAAAAAATTCCCTGCAGAAATGTGGAGAAATTTAGAGTTTATAAATAATCTCACCTGCTTGTGGTTTTCTACATCTTCTGGTCCTTCCAAAGTTGAATAAACAGGTGCTTGAGGTGAATTTGGTTCTTCTAGTGTATGATACAGTCCGCTGTTGTCAGGAAGAGGAGAAGAATGCTCGTTGGTCGTTTGCTCTGTTCCCAGCGGAATTGAAAGGATATCGGTATTCTTTACATAGCTGTACTCTGATCCTGGGGTATCGTATAATGCATCAGTGGCAGCTGGAGAACTATCTCCCTTGGGCACCGTCTTCGTATTTACAAAAGATTTCGGAATCTCGGTATCTTTGGCATATGTATACTCCAATTCTGATGATGGTGGTTTGGTGATGTTGGTGTTATCAGGGTAGTGATAAAAGTCATCATCACTCGGTTGTTCTGGCTGTTCCAATGTATGATGCACAGCTCTATTTGCAGGATCCTGAGTCGTTACCTTTGTATTTGTATTTCCTCTCGGAAAATCGGTGTCCTTCGCATAGGTATATTCCAATTCAGATGATGGTGTTTTGGTGATGTTGGTGTTATCAGGGTAGTGATAAAAGTCATCATCACTCGGTTGTTCTGGCTGTTCCAATGTATGATACACAGCTCTATTTGCAGGATACTGAGTCGATACCTTCGTATTTGGATTGTCTCTGGGCACATCTGTATCTTTGGCATAAGTATACTCCTGTTCAGATGATACTGACGGCTTAGCGGTGTTGGTATTATCCGGGTAGTTATAGAAGTCATCAACAGTTGGTTGTTCTGGCTGTTCTAATGTTTGGTACACTACACCATTACTTATTGGTTTCTCGGATGTTGCCTTTGTATTTACACTAGATTTGTGAAAATCTGTATCTTTGGCATAGGTGTATTCTTGTTCGGATGATGTTGGATTTGGGATAATATTACTATCTGGATAGCTATAGGTGTCAGAGGATATTCCTGGTTGGCTTGGCGATACTTCATTTCTGTCCTCCTTTAGTGTTTCGTAGCTCCGATCTGGATCTTCGTAAATATCCTTGGAATTGTTCATAACACCAAGATCTAAAATATGAGGATATATTCTGCATTTATGCATGGTTTATGAGTTGAGTGAAAGTTTATTAACCATTGTGTAGAACATGTACTCCTTAATTTTTTCATTGGATCACTGCTGCATCTCAGTAAACCATTTCTACTTCTCATTCTCCTGGACTAGATAAGCGAAGATTTTACTTCAACAGAATAATGTGTCTATGATTCTTACCATTATAGTTGTTCTGTGGTAGTTGTGTCCTGAAATACGAGAAAGATTTTCCCCTCAATCTCAAATTATACACTACATCACAAATATCCAACCATTAATTACTGCCATAGGATAGCAAACCTGAATTACTCAATCTTGAAGAAAGGCGAAGTTAAAAGGACGTAGGAATTTCCGCTCAGTCAAGAGATTGCCAAAAGAAAAAATGGGATAGAGAAACGTTTTATGTTTTGTATGAGGTTTTTTGGAGTGCTACATTCTTCATAAAGCTAGAAAATATACAGTTTTAGTAGTTTTCTGTTTCAATTAAACGCAAGACAAATTGTTAACATTTTAATCCTTAACAGTCATCTTCACGAGAATGCCACTCTTTTTAAAAAAGCCAACTGTTTATCCACACATATTTTATAAGGGTCCATTCAAAAGCCTGACCTTCTCCTGAAGATGAGTGTAAATATATAGTCATAACGTCGAGAATTAAAATGTTACAATTTACCGAGAGTCGATTGTTTTGTGTCTAATTAAAAAAAATTTATGGCAACCGTAATTTTCTGTTTTGATTTGTATCTTATCCAACTAACCTATGACCTTTATCGCCGGAATAATTTTTGTAAGAAGAAGTGTTTAAATGTTAAAAGAAAAAGTGTTTAAATTTTACCTTTTTCGTCTTCTATGGTACACCAAATACCCCAATGCCAGTGCCAAGGCTACTAGAAGAAGAGTAACGGTAACAGCAATAGCAATGGAATTTTTTCCAGCAGACTTAGATGTTTTATTTTTTTACCTTTCTTTGAATTTTCTGTAGTGGAAGTCGTTGGGGGTGGTGATTGGCTAGTTAGTGTAGTTCTAACCGCTCTGGTAGGCCCTCTAGGTTGTGTGGTAGATCGTATAGTAGGTGGTCGTGTGGTAGATCGTGTGATAGGTGGTTGCGTGGTAGATCGTGTAGTAGGTGGTCGTCTGATAGATTGTGTGGAAGGTGGTTGTGTGGTAGATCGTGTAGTAGGTGGTCGTGTGGTAGATTGTGTGGTGGGTGGTCGTGTGGTAGATTGTGTGGTAGATAGTCGTGTGGTAGATGGTCGTGTGGTAGATCGCGTGGTATGTCGTGTGGTAGATTGTGTGGTAGATTGTGTGGTAGGTGGTGATTTCCTACGTCGTCGACGAAACCATGCACTAGCTCGTGTATTGTCCCGATCTTTGCTCACTAAATTTTTACCAAATCCCAAAATATCAAAATCCATTAATTTGTTGTCGTTGTCCTTTCTGATCGCAACTCGAGCTACAGGTATTACAATCTGAAACATAATTAGACAAAAAAGTGCATCAGTTACAGGTATAATATCGTGGTAGAAAAATAAGAAATATCTTAAAATCGGAGGCACCGAAGCCAAATACAAACAGGTTTTGCTCCATCATGAACGGAGAAAAGAATAGCCGGTCAGTTTGGTGTGCCTGTACTCGTGCTCAACATCATTATATGCTAATTTTGCATATTTGAAAGAGGAAGTTTCACAAATGGTCCAGCGGATATGCACAGATATTTGAGAAAATCATGCACTTTGTGAAGAAAGCACCAAATTCACAGGAAGTGTAGACTTTAACATGATAATGAATCTTAGATATGGAGGCATCACCAAAATTGATGCTGACGGCTTAAAATTTAGGATTTCTTATATTCTCTTATTAATCTCTTATACAATTAAAAATTGAGAAATTGCAGGTTCACATATAGCAAAAATGACATGCGTCATTAGAAAGCTTACAAAAAACTGCATATAAGACATTTAAGCATGCAGTTACTTTGATTTTCCAACTCCTCTGGAGTTATGAGCGGTTGAAAATATGTTTTAGGGCTAGTGTCCAGGACTTTGGCGGGATTTTTGCCAATTTATCACGTTTTTAACTGGAGAACCGCTTGGAAAATCAATCAGCCGTTTAAAAGTCTTATATGTAGTTTTTTGTAAGCTTTCTAATCATGCAAGTCATTTTTGCTATTTGTGAACCTGCAATTTCACAATTTTAAACAGTAATAGAGTTTAATTAATAAGAGAATATAAGAAATCCTAAATTTTAAGCCGTCAGCATCAATTTTGGTGATGCCTCCATATCTAAGATTCATTATCATGTTAAAGTCTACACTTCTTGTGAATTGGGTGCTTTCTTCACAAAGTGCATGATTTATTACTTTTCCGCTGGACTAAAAGACGTTTCTGCTGATGTTGAAGATTTCAAGCTAGACGTGACTCACGTCTAGTTTGTAATCTTCACGTGACCATACTAGAGTCGAATCAAATCGAACACTGCTGAAGAGCTAACACCCAATGAAATCAGCTGAACGAATGGAAGCGTAATAATGATTTCGCAGCAACCGCGTGTAACGATTCTACGCATGCACGAAAGCCCCGCGGGACCAAAATGGAACAAAGAAAGCTCAAGTGGATCAACAAAGATAAAGTTGGCAAAAAACCCCCCAAAATCTGTGTCAGAATCACGGCACCCCAACGATCATTACTCGTCATCTTCACTGCTTGAAAGAAAAAGAAATATTCCTAGAAAGAGTAGATATATTCGGCAAAGAATGGACAATGAGCATTATAGGGATTTTGGCTGGATTTTGCATACTGACAAACAAGATTGACTCAGACATCTAGAATTGTTCACTACTAAACGTAGTAAGTAATCCATCTAACTTCTCACTTCTGTTCCCTACCATCGACCTTCTGGCCATATTATTTCAAAATATATTACTAAATTTTTTTACCCTCTGCAATTATGTTGTCTAATATGCTATGTCATTAGCGCCTAAGATTGATGAAGTTCGTTGCGCGTTCTTGGATCTAAAACTGCATGATACATAAGTTGCTTCACTGAAACTTGGCTGCAGCCTGCAGGATTAGATACGGACGTCTACTTTTTTATCTCAAGAAACAGAAGTACCAGGATGCACGGGGGGATTTGGCCGGTTTGATTCAGTTTAACCGAATTTTCGTCATTTTGGTCATTTACACAGCCAGGAATTTGAGGCAGTATGTGGTTCACTGGCATAAACCAAAGAGATCGCTCCGGGGTCTTATTGTTGCCTCTATCTGTCATCCCACGTTTCGACAACAATTCTATGTTTGAGTATTATCCGCCACGCTCAGCACCATTAAAGGCTCTTTATAATATCATGCCTGTGGTATTATGCCGTGTAGCGATTACAATTGTTTAAATGTCGCACGTGTCCTTTCTCAATTTAAACTAAAGCCGTTGTTAAACTAACAAGAGACAGTCAAATTCTAGATTAGTGCTTGTCAACCTTGCTAATTCATACGAAAAGGACTCTAAAATTCTATACCTCCCTTTGGTCTGCCCGATCGTAATGTAAGGTATCATGCATAACCTGCGATCAGGCCTATAAATAAACAAATTGGCCTGATACAAACCTTAACAAAAGTCCATGCCTTACAACCGTATTTCGGTTGTAAATCTGATTGGTCTATAAACCAATATGATAATATTTAATCTGTCATTTGATTGGTTGGTGCTAATTAGATTATACTGTTGTTATTGATATATTTTGTAGTGATCACGACTATAATAATATACATAAAAATATTACTCGACTGTGATTGGTTGATTTCAGTGCAGTTAATCCCAAACAGCAGTGCAATTTTTTGTAATCACAGTGCAATTTTCTGTAATCACAGTGCAAAAATCTGTAACAAACTGATCTGATTGGTGAAAAAACATTGTGATGATAAAATCAAGCAATCAGTTTAAAGCAGTTTAGTTTAAAGAAGTAACGGTCACAGATTGCTTCAAAACAAAACAAACATGGCGCCGCGCTACGTAAAGTAAAAGTTGACTTCGCGTGGAAAATATGGCTGTTGTCTTTATTTTTAAATGGAAAAGCCTTTCTAAACAAGACTAGTACTAACAAAACTTACACTGTTGAGTGGAATTTTCAAGCTGTTAGCGTTGTATAATGTGATATAACAAAGCCAGGAATACTTTGCCAGTGGAATGTTCGCTATAAAGGCCGCTTTCCACTAGGCGGAATTTTCCGCTCGGAGCTGAATTTCTCTTTGTAATTTCTCTTTCTATACTAATTAGATTGTTGTTGTCGTTGTGTGAAATTTAAATTTCTCCTGCAACATTTTGATTAGATACTATGGTATATATCAACTTTGCTGTGGGTCGAAAGCGATCGGATTAAGGTTTGTGTCAGGCTCTGTTTAATAGAGCTTGATCTCAGGTTAAGTCGATCAATGTTCGTGGAAGTCTCTTTTATGGTTTCACGCATCACATGTTAATTTTATCAGGTCTAAAAGCACATGAGGCTGCTTCCTCGTTTTTTAATTAAAACAAGACGCTCTACGGAGCGTTGACTCGCTGGGGCTATACAAATACGCATATTACTGTACATGATACATACAGTACATACAGTTCAATTATTATTATTATTTTTTTTTAATTAACCTTAAAAGGTTTTCCCCGAGCTAAGAGGAAAAGTCGAATACGAGCGCGAAAGGCTTAACACAGTACTAAAATCGCCAGTTGGTGCGTACGCTAGGATTAAACTGCGCTTTAAAACGTTCAAAATAAAATATTTGGGGGCTTTTGGGCTCCGAATACTGATCAAAATGAAGAGAGAAGTGAGACGAATCCACTGGTATACGGCTGAAAAAGAGAAAACCAATGATACCAAAGTTGAAACCAAAGAGAAAACAAATGATACCAAATGATCACAAAGAGAAAACCAATGATACCAAAGAGAAAACCAATGATACCAAAGTTATCAAGGATCAAACGTCCTGCATTTTTATATAATTAATTCGGGAGCCGATTTGACATTGCCTAAACCAAAAACAAATAGTATGAAAAATGCATTCTCCTACAGAGGTGCGGAAGTCTGGAACTGCCTTCCTGCAACGGTAAAAGCATCAACAACTATTACTAATTTTAAGTCTAACTTGAAGCATGCAAATTAACATCAAGTAATCCTGCCATTGTTTCCATCTACCTAAAATAATTTTCTTGTAATTATTTCTGTTTGTGTGAGCACGGGCCGGTTGGAAGATCACCTTTTTTCTTTGTATATCTTGTACATAATTAATTTTAGTATAGGTGAAATTGTACCGTGTTGAAATATAGTTCATAATAATAATAAAAATAATAATTTTGAGCGATTTGTCAACAATACAATTTCGCTTGGCTTTCAAAGACAAAGGCCATAAATCGCTAGAATACTGGTGTTTAGTAATACATTTGACAACGAACGGTGGTATTTTTATCCTTATTGCGCCATTAGGCATTACAAATACAAGGACTGACAAACGTACTGCGAGTGATTTGGTGATTTGTCAACAATACGTACTGCGAGCGATTTGTCAACAATACAATTTCGCTTGATTTTCAAAGGCCATAAATCGCTAGAATACTGGTGCTTAGTAATACATTTGAAATCCGTAAGTACAATTTCTTACGCTGAACTCGAACCACAGATGATCGAACGGTGGTATTTTTATTCTTATTGCGCCATTAGGCATTACAAATACAAGGACAAACCTAGTGCAAGTGATTTGTCAACAATACGTACTGCGAGCGATTTGTCAACAATACAATTTCGCTTGATTTTCAAAGGCCATAAATCGCTAGAATACTGGTGTACTGGAATACTGGTGTAATACACATTTCTTACGCTGAATCGAACGGTGTCGCTTTCTTCTCAAAATATAAAGCAGCGCAGCCAAACATAACTTGCGAGTTGCGATTTGCGAAGGTTGCTGTTTCCATGTCGAAATTCCTTGTAAAATTGTTCCATTTTCCCGAATTTTCCTCAAAATGCAGGGTTATTTATGGATAATTTGGGTAAAATTGGCAGGAACCTTATGGATAATTGGAGGGAAAATTAGGCAGCTCATCAAATATTCTATTTTGTGGCTATCGACGATCCAAAAAAATTGCATGCCGAAACCTATACTCGTCTGGGGCACAGGTGCCCCAGCGAGTAATTAGTATTTCCTACCCCATTTTTTAATATGTCCAATATTCATTTTCTGCCCTGACATCCTATTGTATGTTTCCCCCATATCACAGTATGATCAAAGTCCTAGTTTCACGAGAGTAAGTTTTCATTATTCTTTCATTTCTTTACATTTTGACTTATTATAATAAATACCGTTGCAAAAATTTAATATTCATTGTAAAAGTCTTCGTTAATTCTACCATAACATAAATATATCAAATAATAAGGTATCTGAGGCTCTTACCACTGAACAACAACACACTGAGTCTGAAGTGATCTATAGGTGATCATGCAAAAGGACAAATCACAAATACTGATATTGATCTACTACAAACCTCATCATATCTTTCCACTTTAAACAGAACACAACGTTCTTCGTTACCTGACATGCATCGATTGCCTTCACAAGCAATAGTGATTTTTAACAGCGAACCGTTCCAGAAATCAAAGTCTTCCGCCGAGTTTATCTAAAAGTGTTAAAATAAAACATGAATGACCACTTATTACTATATACAGTTGGAACCCGCTATCTCGAACAGCCAAGGGAAACAGGAAAAAGTACGAGATAGCGGATAGTGCGAGTTAACCGAGCAAAAATAAGGTAGGATAGGAAAGGATAAAACTTTATTTGACTACGCTGGCCACTTCAACCGTAGCTGCTTTCCCGAAATGGGGCGTATAGATAATTTATAAAATGTTACAAAATAATTATATAAAATACAAAATTGTTAACAATATTATAAGAACTACGAAAATACCAATCTCGAACCCTGAGCCTGCAATCCTCTGCGGTGCAAACCTCCACAGAGGATTGTAGGCTCAGGGTTTGAGATTGCAAAAATACAAAATACATATTACTAAACAAATGTTACAATTGTCAATTCACTAATTCGTCAGAGCTAGCATATATTCCTAACAGAGGAAATATTCCTATTGAAATATGGACAAATCCAGGGGAAATTGGTTTAAGTCTAGATTGTTATTAGTGCAAATAATAGAAGACTGAATTCTAAGGATTGCATCATTTGAAATGCATGGTTAAGCTAATATGCTTTGTCAAACAAATATACACCCGGTGTTTTGAACAAAATAGCCGTCAATTGTATTTATACACCATGCATATATACATACCTACGTACTACCCATGCTATGCGTGTTTAACACAAAAAAATTTGTTTTCGGAATTGGTATTTTCATTTGCATGCCATGCAAACAACGTCTTTTATCTTACCTCTAACTCAATCGTGTTCGTTCTTATTTCTTTCAGGAGGAAAGGAATACCAGTGTGCGTCTTCCATTCTTCTCCATTTTGGAAGAATTCAAATGTTTTTTGTATTTGGCACTCGCTGTTCTTGGTGAAACATGGAGAAGAAATATTTATCTTTGTCTGTTTGGGGCCAGTTTCCCCCAACTCAAGGTAAGCCATGAAAGAGCCATCAGAGAAACGGTAGCATCCTATACACAAAAAGCAGTGCGTTATACGAATCGGAAATAGCGCCTTATACTCTTTGCTTGCGTTTAAATTTTCAAATTACATTGCCTTTTTACGCAGGAAAAAGGTCACTATTAAGCTATGTTTGAAGAAGATTCTGATAATGTAAACTCTCATTATCTGCAAGGCCGGCGAGAAGGGGGGGGGGCAGGGGGGGGAATACCCGCGGGGCCCGGAGTGCTCAAAGGGGCCCGGAAATCTCGGTAACATGTTCGTATTGCTTATCATCACTTTATGTTTGTCCTAAATGAAATACGCCTACTTGCACACTATCCGTTGAGCGTCGTCATCGATCGTAAAACGTACCAAATGTGAAGTAAACGATTTTTCGATCATTTTCTCGGCAAAAACAATTAGCTGAACATCGTTCACATTGCGTTTTTATCAGTTATGCGGCTATTTCTTGCAAGTAATTCGCTGGCAATTCTCTCGTTGATTGCGATTAAAAATAGCCAGCGGGAGAGTCGAGAGCGACAGGGGGCCCGTGTTCACCAAATTGTCGTTTTGTCCCGAGGCCCGTGGTTGGCTCTCGCCGGCCTTGATTATCTGACATGCATGGACGCTTTAATTATTTCCACTCAATAAAAAAACAACGAAATTTCCGCCTTGTTTCCTAAAATGTCAGAATTAAAAATATTTTTCTGTGTGAGGATGATAATTACAATCAACTAGTAATTTCAACACGGCAGTGACGCAAGCTCCAAGAATCTTAAGGTCGTAAAGAAAATTATTTCGTGCACTTAAATTTGATAAAATTGGATTGTCAGTTGGCTGGATAGCTCAGTGTTGGGTACAGTGACATTTCAACTTCGTGGAATCAGTGTGTGCATGCGATATTGTGAATACAACTCATGAAAAGTTTAAAAACAATTACTCAAGTAGGAGTTAGCTAGATAGTTTGAAATTCTGAAAAAAATTGCACAGAGCTGCAGACGGTTGGTATATATCTCATATTTTTGACGTACAGTCAATGAGCAAGGCGGCCAACAGCAGTGCCAAAGCCGACCTATATAGTGGCTCTACACACCATACATACTTCATGTAGAAGAAACACGTTATGCATTAAATCGGCAAACTAAAGCTACGATTAGTTATGCTTCAAGTGTTGATTTTAGTAGTTGTTAAACTGTGAAAAGCTGCATTCACATTTTGCTATTTTTCCTGAATAATGAAGATAACTGAATAATATTCAATGGGAAATATAGGCTATTACACATCTAGGCAAATTATCAGGGAGTGCTTGACCCACAACATATAAAAACTTTAGGCTATAGTAAGTCCATAACATTAAGATAGTAATAAGCTAGATGTGCCAATTAAGAGACCAGATGCATATGGTACGTATACCCTTATATTCCTAGTGTGAAGTTTCCATGGGAACGATAATGACTAATGTATTAATTATAAAATTTCATCGGCTTGTTGTGTAGTCGACAGTTAATTAGACTTTTAAAATACCGTACTTGCCTAGCTTACTTGTCTTCAATTCAGTTAATCATCCCAAAGTAAACATTAATTATACTTTGAAAACTAACAGTACACCCATTGTTATATATGTAGTCTTGTTTTCTCTACTACATATACAGTATTTGCAGTTACTCTCTCTAACACAATTAGCGTCGTACAAGTTACACTGTTCATCAATGCTGCACTTTAATCCACTTTCATCGTTACATTTCAAATTCCTAAATATATCATGCTTACTTCGAAATATGTCGAAGTCATCTATGCCATTACTTCCGCATAGGCATATCCAAAGAACCAGAGAAAATAAACTGTAATGAAAGATTCCTTTTCTGTTGCCAAACCCCATTCACTTTGCCTTCAAACTGTAAGTCAACCAAACTCTCAGAAAGTGGACCTTACACTGGTTTACTTTTAATTTAAGGTTGTCAGTCAAAAAGCCCGGCCTTTGAGGTACGAAAGTGTGAGAGTATTCGCCAATATAATACACCATGCACCCTGCAGAGTTTTTGTATACATGCAAAATATATGGTAATTTTAATCATATATACGGTTACGGAAACATTTGGTCATACCTAAAATGAAATTGCGTACGGTTCATTTAGAGTCTTGGGTGTCTGAAAGATGTTTCTGTTATTTGTTGTTCTTGTTTAATTGTTGTCATGTATGTTGTTACAAAATATATACAGGGTGTCCCAAAAAAACCCAAAACTATTGAAATAACGTATTGTTAGAATTTGAATGCCCTATCACTAAGCTAAACCACGCAAAGATATGCGTAAAATATTGACAGGGTGCATATATTAAATATTGACTTCCTAAAGAATCTTTCAAGCTCACGATTTTCTGCTCTTGGGAACTTAAACCAGCTTCTTAATTAAACAGTTTCTTTATGTATAACATTTACTTATGTCAAGCTTTTATGCACTTGTGGGTTCAGCAGAGTGCTGAGGCGTTCAAATTCTAACAATTAATACGTTCGTTATTTGAATCATTTTGGTTTTTTGGGGACACCCTGTAGAGTTTACATGGGTATAAGGGGTCGGATTCAGTGGCTCAACCGCCAGAGCAAGCGCGTTTCACCTCTGAGATCGTGGGTATGATTCTCGATGCATGCGGACTCGTAACACGTAAGATACGCGTCAACGTTTCCTCCGACAGGGAATATTGACAGGGTGGGTTTGTATGCTTTGTATAAACTAGCCCTTCCGTTCCGTGATCAGGCGTGAAGGTGGCAGCCATGTAGGGGCGTCTTTAGTAAGCCTTCGACTCGAGCCGGTTGGACTCACTGAGTCCTTCGTAATTCATCTCAGCTCCCACATGCACTTACCTACTTACTTACTTTTACAAGGGTATATGTGCTTGTAACATTACCTCCGCGACAGGAGGTTATGCTTTCATCCGTGTTTGTTTGTATGTGTGGCTGTGTGTCTCTCGTTTTGTGTCTGTCGGCACGATAAAAATATCAAGTGTATTAATACGAAAATTTGTGGGACTAATGGACATTGCCAGAGGACAAATGGATTAAATTTGGGTTAAATTTGGATGAGAATTTGATGAGAAATTAGTAAACGTTTGTCTTGCTTTGCCGGACAGAGTGAACTGAATGCGTAATTAGCCCATTGTATAATTTATGCATGATACATGACTTAATTTACTGGTGGAGCCGCGGAGGTATGCAGTCCACGAACGTTACCTATAAGTGGCGGCTTTTCAAGCAATCCCACGAGACTTAATTAAACAGGAAAGCAGATGGTGGGCAAGTAATGAGATTCTAATGAGATTATTTTGTGTAAACTGCGGCCATGTGCACTGAACTGTAGCATGATGAAAGGCATATTACTCATTAGTCTTTGATTGCTTACAAAGCTCATGAATTATTTCGCAAATGTTATAATATCAAAAATATGATGTTGTAACATTGTGTTACAATAGGGCACTGATCTGTGTTGTTATATGCTCGGAAATACTGTATGTAATGGAAAATTAAGCCACGACTTCATTTCGGTCTTACTTAGGATTAGACTGTCCTCTTGGCTTCGGAAATGTACATGCTCACAAGAGCACTGTAAAAGAAAATAAATGGCGAGAAGTGGAATTAAATTGAAAGATTTGTGATTTTTGTACTCGTCTCATGTGAATATACTGAAAATTTTGATTTTCATCCCGGTTTGACTCGTCACGGTCTCATGTAAACGGGGCCTTAGAATCATTACTGTGAATGAAATTTGTGACCTAAAAACATCCAATTTCAGAAAAATGAAAATGCGTGGTAATTTTTTTCTCAGGTGTCCAAAACAAAATTTCATTATCGTATTCTTTCTGTTCAGCTCCCAGCCTCTTTTTTTCCCTCTTTGTATCAGACTAGTCCATAGTCCTCTGTGCACGCCTTTTATTTCCGTGACGTCACTATCAACTAGCGTAATAAGGCGTACTAAGAGGCCTAGGGACTAGGCTGTCTTTGTATTAGCACGCGATCCAGAAGCGCATATATAAAATAAGCCCTCTATTTAGCCCCACCCTCTATTTAGCCCCCATCATTCTCAATGTCAATTTATAGTGGAATGTATGAACACACTGAATTGTCCGGTATGTAACTTCAGTGATAATGCCGTGTAACGTTGACTTATGCGGCTAAATAATGGTAAATTAATGGTATGAAAACTTCTCCAAAATTTTTTATAGTAATGATTCTGTAAACGTAATATTTTTAAAAGAATGTGAAAAAGTTACTGTTTAGCCCCCCCCCCCGCTCTAATAAGCCCCCATTCCATAACCACTGGGGGAAAAAGATGTAACTAGGACCCTACATAAAGGAACTACGGTAAATCCTCACAATTTGTCATGTAAATCATGAGGCATGATCACAATTAATATTGTAAATATTAAAATACAACATTGCATTTTGATTGCTTTGTACGTTTCCTGGAAAACACTAAAGCTTTGGTGACCTGAGGTTTGACGCGTTCGGCGTGTTTTCAACATTTGTTTGTCTTTTTTACGAGTGCTATCTTATAGTATCATTTAAAAGCCTAATTATCTATACAACTATTTTGAAGAGTATACAGGAATATAATACAGTTTATTAAGTTATATTTCCATATACAATAATATATACATGAAGCACGTTTATATAGTACGGTAACAATCAATATATATAAAAAGAGTTAGATCATGATTGACATTTCTTTGAATAAATGAAAGATCAATTAGTTATACTTAAATTCAATTTTGAGTTATAACTGTCGCAACCGTTTAAATAACGAGTTATTAAATGTATTATTACCTTTAATGTTTGCTTATATAGGTAGTCCGTTTCTCTTGCTCTTTTCAGGTGTTTAGTGTCTCTTCGAATTGGGGCAAAACTTGATTTCTACACTTCTATTTCCATCACAGCGAGACCTAGCAATATTTTACTATAACTTGACCTCACTAATAAACTATTTTGTATGATATGTCTAATAATAACCGAGAGTGAGTCACTCTCGGTTATTATTAGACATATCATACAAAATAGTTTATCTAGATTTAAAATACTCATTAATATTTCATAAACCTTGTGGCAAATCATGTCAGCCATAATATGTCACGTGGAGTGACTTTATATCTGATAAAACACATGTGGCATTATATAATTGTTCATCTTAATTAGCATGATTACACTATGGTTCATCCTAATTAGTATTCTTTTGTAGTCGTATTTTAAGCTATTCAAAACACTCGTTGTCGTGTTTTATCATCAGATATATAACGCTCGGCTGCGCCTCGCGTTATATATCTGATAAAACACTCCTACTCGTGTTTTAAATAGTACATATTAGTCACTGATGGTTGTTTTATATCAAACCACATTTAATCACTAAGTAGAGTAGTACATGCAATGTGTATTAGTGTTTCAATTACCAATACTTTTATGATAAACATTAAATATAACATACAGTCTATGCTACACTAGACGAGTTTTTAGCATTTCGGTAAATCTGTCTTGTTGGAATCTTCAATTACATCAATATATGTATGATCACTGAAATTTGGTCTTTCATCTGTTACCTACACATGAAGCATCAATAATGAGTAGCGTACACTAGTACTTTCCATCTTCTGTTTTTTCTTTCAATTGGCCCTGATGTTATGATAAGAATTGAGTACTAGTTACTGTACTTTGTGCATGAATACTTGCATAATCTCTGGATGCTGGACTTTCTCACTCACAGTTAACCAATTTACTTAGACAAATTTACCATGCTTCTATGGTTCTAATATTACGTGGGGGAATATTTCCTTGAAAAATTTAAGTTCGTGTCATAAAAAACTTAACCAAGTATGTTCCTCCTTTGTACAAGCACTGAATTCTCAGCAAGGGTGGGTTGACTACAAAATTTTTGTAGTTCGCTATAACTACAGCTACTGCTTAAAAAATGTAGCGAACTATTTCGCTATTTCGCTACTCTATATTTTTTAGTTTTACGGTATTTGGAGCATCCATGCACTAGCTCAGGCTGTAATATAACCTATAACAAATCGACTTACGAGTAGCAACAGTATAAAACAAAAAGGGTCAAAGCAACATTTTTTTAAGCACTACAGTGTTCAGGAGTGCCACTTTTTATTGCGCTAAAATAATCTTTACTGTATAAAATAATCGTTTAGCAAACCGTGTCTTATCATCATTCTATTCTATGAACGGTTGCTAACAATTTTAAAAAGTAGCGAATAGCGATTCGCTGTTTGAAAAGTAGTCAACTATTTGGCTACCTTTAGGCAAAATGTAGTTCGTTACAACTACAACTACTGTTTTAAAAAAGTAGTCAAAAACTACTGGCTACTTGAAAATTGTAGTTCGCTACAGTAGCGAACTACAACTACTTCGCTACTACCCACCCTTGATTCTCAGTACCATGCATGCAAACAGGGAGATATGTAGAGTTTAAATAATCTCACCTGCTTGTAGTTTCCTACATCTGCTCGTCCTTCCAAAGTTGGATAAACAGGTGCTTGAGGTGGATTTGGTTCTTGCAGTGTATGACGCAGTCCGCTGTTGTCAGGAACAGGAGAATGCCCGTTGGTCGTTTGCTTTGTCCGCAGCTGAATAGAAGGCATATCAGAATTCTTTACATAGCTGTACTCTGCAGGTTCAGTCGGTGCTGGTTCTTCCTGTTCTGGGGTATGGTATAATGCATCACCGGCAGCTGGAGCATTTACAAAAGATTTCGGGATTTCGGTGTCTTTGGCATATGTATACTCCAGATCAGTCGGAATTTTAGTGCTAGAGGATTTATACACGTCTGTGGTCGGCGATTCGTGTTTTAATGTATGATGCACAGCTCTATTTGCAGGATCCCGAGTCGCTACCATTGTATCTGGATTGCCTCTCGGAAAATCGGTATCTTTCGCATAGGAATACTCCAATTCAGGTGATGGTGTTTTGGTAATGTTGGTGTTATCAGGGTAGTGATAAAAGTCATCATCACTCGGTTTTTCTGGTTGTTCCAATGTATATGTATGATACACAGCTCTATTTGCAGGATACTGAGTCGCCACCTTTGTATTTGGATTACCTCTTGGCAAATGATAGCTTGATACTGACGGCTTAGCGGTGTTGGTATTATCCGGGTAGTTATAGAAGTCATCAACAGTTGGTTGCCCTGGCTGTTCTAATGTTTGGTGCACTACACCATTACTTATTGGTTTCTCGGATGTTGCCTGTGTACTTCCACTAGATTTGTGAAAATCTGTATCTTTGGCATAGGTGTACTCTTGTTCGGATGATGTTGGGTTTGGGAAAATATTACTATCTGGATAGCTATAGGTGTCAGAGGATATTCCTGGTTGGTTTAGCGATGCTTCATTTCTGTCCTCCTTTAGTGTTTCGTAGCGCCGATCTGGATCTTCGTAAATATCCTTGGAATGGTTTATAACACCAAGATCTAAAATATGAGGATATATACTGCATTTATGCATGGTCTATAAGTTGAGTGAAAGTTTACCATTGTGTAGAACATGTACTACTTAATTTTTTCATTGGATCACTGCTGCTTCTCAGTAAACCATTTCTACTTCTCATTCTCCTGGACTAGATTTTACTTTAACAGAATAATGTGTCTATGATTCTTACCATTATAGTTGTTCTGTGGCACTTGTGCCCTGAAATACGAGAAACATTTTTTCCCTCAATGTCACATTATACACTACATCAGAAATATCCAACCATTAATTACAGTCATAGGGTAGCAAACCTGAATTACTCAATCTTGAAGAAAGGCGAAGTTAAAAGGACGTAGGAGATTCCACTCAGTCAAGAGATTGTCAAAAGAAAAGAAGGGATAGAGAAACGTTTTATGTTTTGTATGAGGTTTTTTAGAGTGCTACATTCTTCATAAAGCTAGAAAATATATAGTTTTAGTAGTTTTCTGTTTCAATTAAACACAAGACAAATTGTTAACATTTTAATCCTTAACGTCTCGACTGTATTTAATTTACACTCATCTTCACGAGAATACCACTATTTATCAACATATATTTCATAAGGGTCTATTCAAAAGCCTGACATTCTTCTGAAGATGAATGTAAATATATTGTCATAACGTCGAGAATTAAAATGTTAAAATTTACCGAGAGTCGATTGTTTTGTGTCTAATTGAAAAAAAACTTTATGGCAACCGTAATTTTCTGTTTTGATTTGTATCTTATCCAACTAACCTTTAACCTTTATTGCCGGAATAATTTTTGTGAGAAAAAGTGTTTAAATGTTGCCTGTCTTTTACAATTTTACCTTTTTCGTCTTCTATGGTACACCAAATACCCCAATGCCAGTGCCAAGGCTACTAGAAGAAGAGTAACGGTAACAGCAGTAGCAATGGAATTTTTTCCAGCAGACTTGGATGTTTTATCTTTTTGACTTTCCTGTGAATTTTCTGTAGTGGAAATCGTTGGGGTTGGTGATTGGCTAGTTAGTGTCGTTCTAACCGCTCTGGTAGGTCCTCTAGGTTGTGTGGTAGATCGTATAGTAGGTGGTCGTGTGGTAGATCGTCGTGTGGTAGGTCGTCGTGTGGTAGATCGTGTGGTAGGTCGTCGTGTGGTAGGTCGTCGTGTGGTAGATCGTCGTGTGGTAGATCGTGTGGTATGAGGTCGTGTGGTCGATCGTGTGATAGGTCGTCGTGTGGTAGATCGTCGTGTGGTAGATCGCGTTGTAGATCGTCGTGTGGTAGATCGTGTGGTAGGAGGTCGTGTGGTCGATCGTGACCGTCGACCAACCCCAGCAGCTCGTGTATTGTCCCGACCTTTGCTCGCTAAATTTTTACCAAATCCCCAAATCTCAAAATTCATTAATTTGTTGTCGTTGTCCTTTCTGATCGCAACGCGAGCTACAGGTATTACAATCTGAAACAATTAGACAAAAAGTGCATCAGTAGGCTAGAAGAAGGCTCAATACTATAATATTGTGGTGGAAAAATAAGAAATATCTTAAAATCGAAGGCATAGAAGCACAGTCTTTCATAAACAGGTTTTGCTCCATCATGAACGGAGAAAAGAATAGCCGGTCATACGGTTTCATATGAGAATTTTCTACTGATGTTGAAGATTTCAAGCTAGACGTGATTCGCGTCTAGCTTGAAATCTCCCCGTGACCATACCAGAATAAAAACCAAGGCGTCGTAGACAAGCTTGCAAGGTATTCTTAGATTCTATGACTAAATAATGGTTGAATTCAGTGCGAAAAGAATATGATAGTCTGAAAAAGAGTGTCGAAGAGTTATTTCATGTAAATCTCTAGACATGTTGTGAAAATGACATGCAGTCACGAATATAGTCTAGATAGATAGATAGATAGATAGATAGATAGATAGATAGATAGATAGATAGATAGATAGATAGATTGATTTTATTTTGACACGCTAACTACGTCAATAAAAAACATTGATTTCCACGAAGGCCGTGTGTTCAAATATTATATATAAGTGTTATATAACAAAACATATAGATAACTATTTACAATAAAGGATTTATATACAGTCAAACCCCTATAAGCGGACACCTCTCTTAAGCCGACACCTCTTTTAAGCGGACACATATCTCAGGTCCCATTCGTTTTCTTTAATAAAATACTATTATCATAACCCCTACTAAGCGGACACCCCTCTTTAACGGACGCGGACACCTTACTTGAGGTCCCAATGGGTAAACCAACCTCTCTTAAGCGGACAGATGACAGATTGTCTGATAAAACGTATTCAATATTCGACAGTAAATAACAATTGAGATCAATTTACATGGCACATTGGCAGTGACACACCAACTTGGCGCGAAGACATCAGAGCCAAGATTATTGAGGAAGTGACGAACAAGGAGGACTGTGAACCGCCAGCCGAGGAGCCAAAAGATATGTGTCAGATCACTGATGATGACAACAAACTGAACGGAGATGACGAATTTGACTGGTCTCTCATTAAATCGTCCTCCGAAGCCCTTAAAGTTGTCGAGCGGCTGGCAGAATTCTCACAATTTTGAGGTTTGGAAGAACTTCCCAACGCCATTTTTCTGTAAATGACATTATAATGGGCTAGCTATCGTCTGCGTGAGCCTCGAAAGCAAACTTGTATCGATTCCTTTTTTACATGACTGTGAGAGACATATACATTTTCTAATGAACTTTTATGTACAAAGAAATTTTCATTTTATGCTAATTATTTGCTAGATATATTTTACTGTTTTGATACTCAAATTACAAACCTAATTACACACCTTTGCCTTCCGCTGTGTTTTTCTTCATACCCCTTTTAAGCGGACACCCCTTTTAAGCGGACACTTAGGCGAGGTCCCGAAGGTGTCCGCTTAATAGGGGTTCGACTGTATGTATGTATAAATATATTATTTAGTAACGTGAGGAGCAATTTTTCTTTCAAATAGAGACTGGGACCTAATTCCTCTGATTTCTTTAGGCACTGGGTTCCATATTTTTGCCCCATTAAACATAAAACTCTTTTCATGCTATTTGTGCGGGGCTGTGGCAAAAAGGTCTGTTAGGCTTTTAGGCCCAGACATATTCAAAATTTTGAACGTTAATTTTGCCTTAGCTTTAGTTCTTTGTACTTTTAGTGTCTCCCAGCCTAACGAATTTAATGCGATTTGGGCATTAACTTCGTTACCCATGTCCATAATAATTCGAGCGCATCTATTTTGAAGCTTTTGTAATCGTTGTGATTGAGTTTCACCAAAAATGTCCCACACTTCACAACAAGTAAAGTATGGTTGTACAATTGCATTAAATATAGAAACCCAATAATTAAGGGCCCACAGTAATTGGTTTTAACTGTTGTGGTGTCCCAGCCATCTGACTGTATGTATTGTACTGTACTGAACTATATATATACTGTACTGTCTTGTGTTAGATTGTATCGTTTTTTTTTTTGTTTTTTTTTGTATTGTACTGTATGGTATATATAAATGGCGAAGTTATATAAATAAATAAATAAATAAATAAATAAATAAACAAGTGTATCACGGTCAACTATTACTCCTAGTGTCTTGCATTCCTTCACTTGTTTAATTGGTCTGTTTTCAATCATGTTTAAATTTGAATCTGAAACAGTATGCACTAGAGATCTTGATCCAATGAGCATAAATTCAGTTTTGGCAATGTTTAGGCTCAGTTTGTTCGCGTTTAACCACATTCTGAGGTTTTCCAAATCAGAGTTCACTGCATTTTCAACATCATCAATTGTAACACCGGAAGCAGTGAGGTTTGTGTCATCTGCAAAAAGTCTTGGCTTTGTCCTATTTAGGCATTCAGATAAATCATTTATGTATATTAGGAAAAATAAAGGACCTAAAATGGAGCCTTGAGGAACACCACACTTAACTTTGTGTTCAGACGAGAACATCTATTCTATCTACCAGATGAGAACTATAATCTCCGAACACTGCTGAAGATCGAAGTAACACCCAATGAAATTAGGTGAACGGATGGAAGCGTAATAATGATTTCGCAGCAACCGCGTGTAACGAATCTACTGCAAAAAATTATTATTTATTATTATTATTATATCCGCTACTTATCCGCTACGCTCAGCATCACTTATCATGCCATGTGGTATTCTGTGTAGCGATTTCAATAATTTGAATGTCACACGTCTCCGGCGTTTCTCAATTTAAACTAAAGCCGTTAAATTGATAAACCAACAAGAGACAGTCAAATTCTAGATTATTGCTTATCAATCTTGCTAATTCATACGAGAACTGAGGACATTCTACCTCCCTTTGGTCTGCTTGCTTTTATCAGGTCTAAAAGCACTGAAGCTGCATGCCCCCTCGTCTTTTTAAACCTGATAAAACACTGCCTGCTTGCTTCTTTAAATTATAGGATATCCCACCCAATTTTTTAATATGTCCAATATTCATTTTCTGCCCTGACATCCTATTGTATGTTTCCGCGACCCTTATATATATGTATGTATGTATGTAGTTTAGATAATAACTAGTATGATCAAAGTCTTTTCACGATAGTAAGTTTTCATTTTACTGTCATTTGACTCATTTATATACATTTGGACTAAAATATCGTTGCAAGAATTTAATTAATTATATTATTCATTGTAAAATTTTTCGTGAATATAATTCTACTATATAGCATATAAATATCAAGGTAGGGCTAACAAGGTATCTGAAGCTCTTATTAACTGCTGAACAACACAGAGTCTGAAGTGATCTATAGATGATCATGCAAATGGACCGCAAATCACAAATATTTACTACAAACCTCATCATATCTTGGCAATGTTTCCACTTTAAACAGAGCACAACGTTCTTCGTTACCTGTCATGCCTCGATTGCCTTCACAAGCAATAGTGACTTTTAACAGCGAACCGTTCCAGAAATCAAAGTCTTCCGCCGAGTTTATCTAAAATTGTTAAAATAAAACATGTCGACTTATATACAGTTGGAACCATGCACTGGTTGAAACCCGCTATCTCGAACAGCCAATGGAAACAGGAAAAAGTACTAGGTAGCGGATAGTTAGAGTTAACCGAGTATTTGACTACGCTGCATGGCCACTTCAACCGAAGCTGCTTTCCAAGTGGGACGAAGATAATTTTTAAAATGTTACAAAATATACAAAATACAAAATCGTTACCAATATTAAGAACTACAGGTACGAGCCTCCACAGAGGATTGCAGGCTCAGGGTTCGAGATTGCAAAAATACAAAATACAGATTACTAAACAATGAAATATTCCTATTGAAACACGGACAAATCCAAGGGAAATGAGTTTAAGTCTAGATTGTTATTAGTGCAAATTAATAATAGAAAACTGAATTCTAACGACTTGGTTGCGTCATTTGAAACGCATGGTTAAGCTATGCTTTGTCAAATAAATATCACGCAGTGTTTTGAACAAAATAATCAATTGTATTTATATACCATGCATACATACCAATACTACGTACCTATCGGTTATACGTGTTTTACACAAAACAATTTGTATTCGGAATTGGTATTTTATTATATTGGCCTCAGTTTTTGCCGGCCAAATCGTCATTTCTCTTACCTCTAACTCAATCGTGTTCGTTCTTATTTCTTTCAGGAGGAAAGGAGTACCAGTGTGCGTCTTCCATTCTTCGCCATTTTGGAAGAATTCAAATGTTTTTTGTATTTGGCACTTGCCGTTCTTGGTGAAACTTGGAGAAGAAATATTTATCTTTGTCTGTTTGGGGCCAGTTTCCCCCAACTCAAGGTAAGCTACGAAAGAGCCATCAGAGAAACGGTAGCATCCTATATTGACAAAAAGCAGTGCGTTTTACGAAAGAAATAGCGGCTTATAGTATTGCTCCTTGTTCACGTTTAAACTTTCAAATTGTATTGCCTTATTACGACTAAAAGCTCACTATTAAATGTTTGAAAAAGATTCTGATAATGTAAACTCTCATTATCTGGCAGCTGGTCTAACCTGAACACTTTACATAACCATCAATCTGGAGGGCAAAAAATTATGTGCTTTGTCTTTCTCCTTCATTTACTAATCCCTCAGCTCGGCTCCATGATCTCCAGTCGCTTATTGTTCTCAACTATTTTTAGCCTGAGTTATAACTACAAAGAGCCCGGCTATTCTGATGAGATTTGACTATACTATAGCTGTAAACCTGAGGCTGAGTTGGCCGCGCGCAATCTATGTATAATATAAATAATCGCCATCTATAATGCATGGTATAATATATAAATAGTGTATCATTTTAGGTATTCCTATTTTATCACGTACCTGGTAGAATATCTTCGTCACCGCTATTGCATACGCCATTGCTTGTATCATCTTCCGTTGTTATACTTATAAATGTAGTCTTGTTTTCTCTACTACATATACAGTATTTGCAGTTACTCTCTCCAACACAATTAGCGTTGTACAAGTTACACTGTTCATCATTGCACTTTAACCCACTTTCATCTTTACATTTCAAATTCGTAAATATATCATGTTTACTTCGAAATATTTCGAAGTCATCTATGCCATTATTTCCGCATAGCCATAGGCAAAGAACCAGAGAAAATAAACTGTAGCGAAAGATTCCTTTTCCGTTGGCAAACCCCATTTACTTTGCCTTCAACCAAACTCTCAGAAAGTGAACCTATGGTTTACTTTTAATTTAAGATTTCAATAAAAAAGTCCGGCCTTTGAGATACGAAAGTATTAAGAGTATTTGCCACAATATAATGCACCATGCACCCTGCAGAGTTTTTGTATAGCTTAAATAGCTACATATACATGCAAAATATATGGTAATTTCAATTATATAATTACGGAAAACATTTGGCCATACTGAAAATGAAATTGAATATGGTTCATTTAGAGTCTTGGGTGTCTAAACGATGTTACTTTCTGTTATTTGTTTTTTTTTAATTGTTGTCAATACAGTATATGTTACAAAATATATACAGGGTGTCCCTAAAACCCCCCAAAATTATTAAAATAATGTATTGTTAGAATTTGAATGCCCCTGAACGCAAGGATGCGTAAAATATTGACAGAGTGCATATATTAAATATTGACTTATTAAGAAATTAAAATATAATAATAGTTTTGTTTGCGGAAACACCACGTAAATTTATTACTGCAAAGCTGCAAAGATATTTTAATTTTTTTACTGCAAAAATTGAAATATCTTTGTAACGCGCACGATTTTCTGCTCCTGGACTTTGGAATTTAAAGCAGCTTCCTTAAACAGTTTCTTTATGCATAAAATTAACCGTTATGTCAAGCTTTCATGCACTTGTGAGTTCAGCAGAGTGGTGAGGCATTCAAATTCTAACAATACATTATTTCAATCGGGTTTTTTTTTTGTTTTTTTTTTTTGGGACACCCTGTATAATGTTTACATGGGTACATTGAACTATAAATAAACTGGAAGGCTAACTCAGGGGGGGGAAATTGAAGCCAGTGTATTTTAGTTTTTCTGAGTTATGAGCAGAAATACTCAACACTGAACGTTGGGCTATATATCAAATTGAAGCTATTCAAAAACGCTATTTGGTGTAGAAATTTCAAGACTTTAGCTAAAAGGGAAATATTGAAAAACTACAAACATAATTACGGATAATTTGCCGTTTTGCAGTTGTTTTTCTATTTTTTAAAGATTTTTCTTTTCGCTGAAGCCTTGAAATTTGCACACCGAATAGCAATTTTCAATAGCTTCAATTTGATATATAGCACGACGTTTGGGGTCAAGTATTTCTGCTCATAACTCAGAAAAACTATTTTGGCTTCATCAAATCATAGGCCTTCATCATAGCAGTTAGCCTTCCAGTTTATTTATAGTTCAATGCATGGGTATAAGAGGTCGGATTCAGTGGCGCAGCCGTCAGATCAAGGGCGTTTCACCTCTGAGATCGTGGGTATGATACTCGATGCATGCGGACTCATGACACTTACTATACGTCAACGCTTCCTCCCATAGGGAATGTTGACAGAGTGGGTTTGGATGATTTGTATAGAGTAGCCCTTCCGTCCTAGCCGTGTTCCGTGATCAGGCGTGGTGGTGGCAGCCATGTGGGGGTCTTTAGTAAGCTTTCGACTCGAACCCGTTGGACTGAGTCCTTCGTAATTCATTTTAGCTCCCAGGTGCAAGTGAGGATGATTAGCACGCCCCCTACTTACCTACTAGGTACTTACTTTTACAAGGGTATATGTGCATGTGACATTACCTCCGCGCCAGGAGGTTATATGCTTTCATCCGCGTTTGTATGTGTCTGCATATTTACACCCCCCTCTAAAACGCCCCCATTCCATAACCACTGGGGGAAAAAAGATCCACTAGCCTACATAAAGGAAATACAGTAAATCCTCACAATTTATTATTTAAATCATGAGGTAATGCTTTAACAATCAACAAATCTGCAAGGTCACAATATTGTAAATCAAAATACAACATTACATTTGATTATTTTGTACGTTTCCTGGAAAACATGCACCAAAGCTTTGGCGACCTGAGATTTGACGCGTTTGTCGTGTTTTCAACATTTGTTTATCTTTTTTATGAGTGCTATCTTATCATAGTATTATTTAAAAGCCTGATTATCTATAAAACTCTTTTGAAGAGTACAGGAATATAATCCAGTTTATTAAGTTATATTTCCATATACAATAGTATATACATGAAGAACGTTTATATTATAGTAACAATCAATATATATACTATATATATAAAGAGTTATATCACGATTGACATTTCCTTGAATAAATGAAAGATCAATTAGTTATACTTAAATTTAATTTTGAGTTAACTGTTGCAACCGTGGTTTAAATAACGAGTTAACACATTATTAGGCTACCTTTAATTTTTGCTTAGTCCGTTTCTCGTGCTCTAGCTTTTCAGTTTAGTGTCTCTTCGAATTGGAGCAAAACTTGATTTCTTTACTTCTATTTCCATCACAAGCGAGACCTAGCAATATTTTACTATAAAGACCTCACTCTCGGTTATTATTGGACATATTATACAAAATAGTTTGTTTAGATATATTAGTCACTGATGATTGTTTTATATCAAACCACATTTAGTCACTAAGTAGAGTAGTACATGCAATGTGTATTAGTGTTTCAATATATACATGTATGACCAATACGTTTATAATAAACATTAAATATAACAAACAGTCTATGCTACACTAGACGAGTTTTTAGCATTTCGGGAATCTGTCTTGTTGGAATCTTCAATTACATCAATATATGTATGATCACTGAAATTTGGTCTTTTATCTGTTACCTAGATATGAAGCATCAATAATGAGTAGCATACACTAGTACTTTCCATCTTCTGTTTTCTCTTTCAATTGGCCCTGATGTTATGATAAGAAATGAGTACTACAATCTTGGCAAAAAGTTAATGAAACACCTATAAAAAATCAATAAAACAGACAAAATCCCCTCCCCCCTGCACAATGTTGGACATAGATTCAAAAAAATTGTGTACAATAGTTCATCGATGGCAGAGAGCACTATGTGTAAGTTTCTTGCTCATCTTAATCAACATTGGAAGGGGGAAAGGGGGGAAGAATAAATTAAATTGTTAATCAAACTGGATGTTTCATTAGTTTTTGCCAGGATTGTAGTTACTGTACTTTGTGCATGGATACTTGCATAGTGAGAGTATATTCTCTGCATGCTGGGCTCTCTCACTCACATGCAGTTAACAAATTTACTTGGACAAATTTACCATGCGGATTTACCATACCATTTACCATGGTATGGTTCTAATATTACGTGGGGGATATTTCCTTGAAAAATTTAAGTTCGTGTCATAAAAAACTTAACCAAGTATGTTCCTCCTTTGTACAAACACTGAATTCTCAGTACCATGCATGCAAACAGGGAGAAATTTAGAGTTTAAATGATCTCACCTGTTTGTAGTTTTCTACATCATCTGGTCCTTCCAACGTTGAATAAACAGGTGCTTGAGGTGGATTTGGTTCTTCCAGTGTATGATACAGTCCGCTGTTGTCAGAAAGAGGAGAAGAATGCCCGTTGCTCGTTTGCTTTGTCCGCAGCTGAATAGAAGGCATATCAGTATTCTTTGCATAGCTGTACTCTGGTTCAGTCGGTGCTTCCTGTCCTGGAGTATGGTATAATGCATCACTGGGAGCTGGAGCATTTACAAAAGATTTCGGGATTTCGGTGTCTTTGGCATATGTATACTCCAGATCAGTCGGAATTTTAGTGCCGGTCGGCGGCGGTTCGTGTTCTAATGTATGGTACACTGCATTACTTGTAGTCTCTGGCGCTGCCTTCGAATTCTTATCTGCAATAACTCTCGGAATCTCCGTATCCTTCGCATAGATATACTCCAGTTCTGATGATGGTGTTTTGGTGATGTTGGTGTTATCAGGGTAGTGATAAAAGTCATCATCATTCGGTTTTTCTGGCTGTTCCAATGTATGATACACAGCTCTATTTGCAGGATCCTGAGTCGCTACCTTTGTATTTGGATTGCTTCTTGGAAAATCGGTATCCTTCGCATAGGTATACTCCAATTCACGTGATGGTGTTTTGGTGATGTTGGTATGATCAATGTAGTTATAGAAGTTATCATCAGACGGTTGTCCCGGCTGTTTTAAAGTTTCGTACTTTGTATTTGGACTACCTCTCGGCAAACCTGTATCTTTGGCATAAGTATACTCCAGTTCAGAGGATGTTGGCGGCTTAGCAATGTTGGTATTATCAAGGTAGTTATAGAAGTTATCAGTCGGGTGTCTTGGCTGTTCTAAAGTTTCGTACACAGTACCATTACTTGCCGGCCCCTCGGGTGCTGCCTTTGTACTTACACTAGATCTCGGAAAATCTGTATCTTTGGCATATGTGTACTCCTGTTGGGATGATGTTGTATTGGGGATGATATTACTATCTGGATAGCTATAGGTATCAGAGGTTGTTCCTGGCTGGTTGGGCGATACGCCATCTAATGTTTCGTAGGTCCGATCTGCGTCTTCATAGATTTCTTTGGAATAGTTGACAACCCCAATGTCTGAAAATATGAAGATGGAGACTTAGTTACTATATTTGAACATTATACAATGAAATATTGGTGTACATCATGCATTACTTTTTATCTAAAGCAGCAACCATAGATTTGTTTATTAAGCCATTGGACGTCTATTGCAGGTTCATATTTTCTGTAAGGTAAGGTTGTTTGATTATAATTTAGCTTCATGCGCATGCGAGAAGAATACGTATACTTCCACCGCGCGTTTTTACAGCGTACTCCAGTTTCCTCCTGTGGTAACAAACACTGAGATAAGTATTTTTACGCCTGTATACAGCTATTTCAATTAAGGTTGTCCATGGGCAAAGCGGAAAAGTCGAATACGAGCGCGAAAGGCTGCTGGGAATCGCTTTGAAAATTAATAAGTTTGTTAGCGATTCCCAGCAGCCTTTGGCGCTCGTATTCGACTTTTCCGCTTTGCTCGTGGACAACCTTAAATAGCTGTATACGTGGTAGTGTTCAGAACTAATGGAAGTGATGAATAAAATTCGGATACTTTAACAGTGTTTTCTTTTTCTTGATGTATTTGAATTGTTACTGCAAAACAATTTACCCTGTTATAATGGTGGTCCTAGAGATTACTCCGTTTTCCCTTACCATTATTGTTGTTCTGCTGCACTTGTGCCCTAAAATTATAAAGATCCTTCTTTAATTATATACTGCATGCGTAACAAATATCCTATCGTAAATATTTTTATCCTATTTAATTCTGCCATCATACGTACATATTTTTATACTATTTGATTTCATACAATATCATACTAAAAAAAATCATTAACAATTCACGAGGAAAATACAAAAGAAATGAATGTTTAATCAATGTTTGTAAATCGGACATTCACATCCGATCTTGTATCTGATATACAAACTCTCGCCTTCGGCTCGAGTTTGTATATCAGATACAGATCGGCTGCTTATGTTTTATCTAGTACATAGACATTTTCACAATTTACTGGGACACTACTACAGCTATTGCCAATTTCTGCGGTTCCAATGGCACAGTTATATATTATACCCGATGCACTGAATAGTCATTAGAGAACGTCTAGGAATGACATGCTAATAAAAGGTTCGTCAGGGCGGAATTGCATTTAATGTGCGCGCACTTTAACTTAAATGTTCCTTTTTTGGATATTAAATAATTAGAATTCCATAGGGATATTGCTCGGATTTTGTATGATTTTCGGTAGGTTTAAGCATCGATTATCCTATTTGGGTAGCAACTCGGTTTGAGCTAAAGAACAAGAAAATTCCAGTCAATAGAAAATTCCAGTCAATAGAAGAACCAGGGCAGCTCTGTTCCGCTTAATCTACTGTAATTTGCCGTTGTCTTGTGTCTGTTTTGTTTTGTTTCCTCATTTGTATCGTCCTGTCATACATACACACTCTTATCCTTTATTATCCTTAGTAACATAACACCTTGTAAATAGATTATAATTAGCTTATATATATTCAAATCTCATATTAATTTTATCTAGTCTGTAGATGTCTTAAGTTAAAGACGAAACGTTACATCACGGCTTAACTGTTTTAATGGCTTTGTTAAAAGTTATATGTTGGGCTCTCATATTTATCATAAGAACCAAAGAAAGAATAAATATTTGACAAATGATGATAGTTTTTTGTTGATTGAAAATATGTATCAAATATGTACTGTATTGGTATTAATCATTTTTTATCTTTCGCAACTAGTTACCTTTTTCGTCTTCTGTAGTAGACTAGATACCCCAATGCTAGCGCCAATACTACCAGAAGAAGAGTAACAGTTACAGCAATGGCAGTGGAGTTTGTCACACCAGACTCTGACGTTTCTTCTCTTACACTTTCCTGTTGGTTTTTTGTAGTGGAAGTTAATGTTGTGCGTGAAACGATTTCCTAGATAGTAGTATAGGAAGTAGCGGTTCTAGACCATTTTTTCGGCCCGCGATCTCACCCAACTTCCGGTCAGCGGTTTCCATATTTTTCCCTCGAAAACGCGGGCTCATATTTTTCTAGACCATTTTTTTCTATTATTTTTTGGTATTTTTTATCTATTATTTTTTGGCGTTATTTTTTCTATTATTTTTCTATTATTTTTCAGCATTATTATTTACAAGAATTATTATCATATGCTAGGGCTCATATTTCTAGACCATTTTTAATCTATTATTTTTTAGAATTATTTTAATCTTTATTATCATATTTAATTATACTCAGGGGGCCTAGGCTCTTAGGGTCAAACACATTACTTGAAGTATCTTTTTTATCTTGTGTGCTCACTCCAATGTTAGTATTATTTGATACAGAGAAATTTATATCACCAACCTTTCCATTCTTACTAGAACTCTTACGACAACCACAAATCTTACCTAAGCAGGAGAAACATGACCTCCACCTTGACATCTTATGATAAACCACATGTTAAATACCTGACCCTGAATATCGAAGTGACCAGCAAAAGGACATATCCATACTAGTACCAGTGGGCATTGAGTGTTCAGGTTTAACTATAATACACCAGGCTAGCGTGTTATCTACCAACTCAGCCTGGGCTCCTAAATAGAACATACTATTACCCTTGAAAACATAGCAAGCTGTACTTCCACCTGTAGTTGTGTAAGTTCCGTTAAACCAGGTGTGTGACAGTCTTCTTAAGTCTATTGTTCTTAGAGCGATTTCCTTCTTAACCTGGGTAAATTTTCCATTAGATTGTTTTTCCCAAACAGTAGCCCATAGAATTAGAGCTAGTGGTATATTTAGAACGGTCGAAAACAGTGGGTAGTCTGTTTTTATAGTTATTGATTCAAGGTTCAGGTCTGCCATATTATTAATAGGATCTGTTCTCCATGAAGGTGGAATCTGATCGTGACAGTAAGCGTAGTACCTTGTTGCAGCAACTGCTACACCACGATAACCCCAAATCCATTCTGCATGTATATGTCGAAGTTTTCTTACATATCTTAAGTCAGCCGTTGCTTGAGTAAGACCAGTTGAAGGTTTTAGGAAATTCCTTTCTACCCATTGTTTGTTAACTGCATCCTTATCATTTACCGGATCCTTTAGATCAAGAATACCACTTGAGTCTCCCATGTCCAAATCACCTTTTACCAGTCCACCTCTACTACTCATGAACTCATTAGTTGCCCAGTCCCTATTGACGGCAGACTTTCCAGTTGTGGGGTCACCTACCCTAGTTAACTCATAATCGTTAACATCAAGGTTACCAGATAAAACACCTCCTCCACGTTTAAGAAACTGATTACACCAATTAGTCA